CCAATATTCAAAAATAGCGGCCCAAACTGGGTGAAGTCTGCCTGTCGACAAAAGTCGACGGTGGCACTGGGGACTGCATGTTTGCTTGTCGACTTTCGTCGACAGTGGCACTCAGAGTGCATGAATGCGCTGTCGACTTTCGTCGACAGTGGCAGTGAAAGGGTTAATGTGCGGAGCATTTTTTTTTTCAGTGATTTGTGTAGCCTAGAGAGTGCAGGGTCGAGAGTCTTCCGAAGATATAATTATGGTTGTTGTGGATGGCTACAGTGGAGTCTGCATATGTTAAGCGATATACGGGGAGCTGTGAAATGAAATCCGATGTCAGAAGCCAATGGCCCTGGGGGGGGGGGGGGGGGGGGGTGGGGGGGGGGGGGGGTGCACCACACCACGCCTGTGTAGACCTGAACTGTGGTCTGATGCAGGTCGCTGCAACACTGGGACATGTGGGCACTGTGTCTGCTTGTTTATGCAATCTGATTCCAGGGAATACAGCTGTAGATCGGAGAATCCCTCGATTTAGGCTTAGGCCGGGGGGGGGGGGGGGGGGGGGGGGGTATCCAATAATAATATAAACGAGCGTTTAGATGCAAAAAGGGGGCTTATGTCATTTTTGAGCATTTTGAGTTATCTTTACCATGGCATTGCTGTATCCCAGCATATCACTCTAAAAACCTAGGTCCAAAATCTTCATCTTTCACAGAGTTCTGGGTGTTTCAATACGTGAATTATACATCGCTTTATGCGAAAACTCAACTTTCAAATGCATCTGTCTAAATACCCGAAGTGACAGAAGCCCCCTTTTCGGGTCTAGAAGCTAAATGTATATGAACAGTCGACTACAACTACAAGATCTAATCTCAAGCAGGTATTTGACTCATGTGGGCACGGTCGGTTGCAACTGTGAACGTTTCGCAAGTGCCACTGGATCAGAAAACAATGGGGCATCCATTTGGGTGTAATTTCTCGGAAACAAATGCCCTTACTCAATGTCGATGGAAATGCGCTCCCTGTTATAATGTTGCTGACCATGAACCGAGTCACTGTGATACTGTCGGTGATGCGGAGAGTCTCACCGTGGACTTTCTCCACGGTGATTAGTTAAGACTTAGTAGAGATACTGAGCCGATTGGAACCCTTGCGCATGACCTGTTTCTATTCCCACTTTTGCCCTCTTTCAATCATGAAAAAAGGCACATGTTGGCTTGTGCTTTGGCTCATGTTTTTCTGATTTCAGGTATCGACAAAGAGAAGAAAGACAGAGATAATGACACAGCTGTTGACACAAGACTCAAAAAGTGTGCTGAGGAATTCGGATCTTTGCTCTCCACAGCGTTCGAGGTTGAAGCCAAAGTTGACTCTTTCAATGAAGATGATCCTGAATCGATCATACGAACTGTGAAAGAGTCAGCCGAAAAGGTGATGAACATACCGATTTGTTTCATATTTCCCATGAAATAAGAAAGCTCACCTACGCTCCAAGTCTTGGAAGTTAACAATGTACATGTACAATGTTTGAACTGTCACTCTCAACATTCCTGCTATCCCCCCCTCCCCTCCCCCCTCCCCCTCCCCCTCCCCTCCCCCTCCCCTCCTTCTGCTGCTTGGTTGGCTTTCTTTCTCATTCTAAGTTAGCGCAAGGCAGTTTGAGCCCAGTTCCTTGCTAGCACCGTAGAATAGGATCTACTGCCTTGTGGTTTACAAGGCACTCCCTGTGATGCACTACATGTAATCTCCCCAGGCGCGTAGACTGTTTTGGGTACATGGGGCAGGGGGGGGGGGGGGGGGGGGTCGGGGATGGGCACGTGCATCCCTTCCCCCTCCCCTAAAAATTTCAACTTAGGTTCAGCATGCACATATTGACGATGATGACATGCATGAGCTATTCTATACGTGGGTTAAAAGTATGATACAGATGGTACACTACTTTGGTGAAGCGGTCGTGCACCGCGAATGTATCATTATCCAAGACATCACGGATTACTAAGCGAAATTTAAATCTACAGTAAAACCTGTGACTAACGACCACCCCTTGGGACCAGAGAAAGCGGTCTTTAGTGGCAGGTGGTCCTTAGTTGGAGGCTTGCACCGCACAACCATAATATATGAATGTGAGACCGTCCGTGCCCGGCAAAGTGGTCTGTAGTGCCAGGCTGGTCGCTAGTCACGGTGGTCTTTAGTTATGCGAACCGTGAATTTTTTTCTTTTTTTCAAGTACAAGTGTAGCATACACCCATACTCGTTAAACGGGGATATTTCTCCAGGGCATGTGTACTGAACGGACAATGTAAATTTGCACAACTTGCATCCATTCTGGGTTTGGATATTGCTGTAATATGCATGTTGTGTATGTGATCGTATATGCCTCAATGCATGTGAGCATGTATATGTGTGTGTGTGTGTGTGTGTGTGTGTGTGTGTGTGTGTGCGTGCATGTGTACGTGTGTGTGTCTACGTGTGTGTGTGTGTGTGTGTGTGTGTGTGTGTGTGTGTGTACGTGCGTTCATGTGTGTGTGTGTCACTGCTCCGTTGTGTGTATGGTTGTTTCTGCTGTGGGACGGTGTGAATGCAGGCAAGCGATCTCCTAATTTTCTACTTAGCTAGCCATGGCGGTGAAGATGGCAGAATCCAAGAATGCGGAAAGGTTTCCTTGGAACAGTTTGCAGATGCAATGAAGAGTACCAAGGCAAGGTGAGAACAACCCGGGAATCTTATCTCAAATTGTTACGATCATATGGAAAGATACGAGCAGATGTTTGTGCTTGTTTTTGGCCATGATGCCGAGACCTCAGGTTGGCAGAGCCCATGCCCAACAATCACAGCTATGACTTAGTGCAGCCCCTGCTCAGTAGCTGTCACATTTGTCCCAGTCTCATTACCACTATCTTTCATCACTATTTTCAATCTGGGTATGTGGACATAGTAAATAGGATAGAAAATATACGAAAAAATAGATGGAAGGATTGATTGCTGGACGGATGGGAGGATGGCTGGCCCCAGTGAAGTGTCCCACGTTGGAGTCCTGGTGGCAGTCAATTCAAGAGTGTCCATTGCAACTCCCAGTGTGAATAGCAGATTCAAACACATAAATGCGTTGCTAAGCTGCACAATATAAATTTGAACATCGAGGTACGGTAAAACCTGTAACTAAAGACCACCGTGACTAGCGACCAGCCTGGCACTACAGACCACTTCGCCAGGCACTGACGGTCTCACATTCATAATTACTATGGTTGTGCGGTGCAAACCTCCAACTAAGGACCACCTGCCACTAAAGACCGCTTTCTCTGGTCCCAGCGGGTGGTCGTTAGTCACAGGTTTTACTGTATAGATTGCCTGTGTTCCTTCACTTGTTCCGTAGGACGAACATAGTGGTCATTCTGGACCTGTGCAACGGCGGCAGTGTTCTTCCAACCTTTCGAGCACGCCTAATGGAATGTTGCCCTGCCAGTAACATTTACTTGTTGGTAGCTACTCGTGAGAATGAGACGACGTGGTTGTGTGGGAAACTCGGGTGCAGCCTCTTCACATTCTTCCTCAGCAACTACCTGCAACGGCATGCGCAGGTTGGGCGTCTGCCCATTTGGGATGCAATGCGTCACGCGCAAACCCTGACTCCAGTTCTTAGCGAATTCCTCTCCACCAACGCTGACGGAGATTCTGGAGTGATCCCGCATCCTGTGATGGAAGCTCGCGGCCAGGTAATAATCTTGACTGTTATTTCCATCCTGCCTGGTGTTTGTGTGTGTATGTGTATGTGTGTGTGTGTGTGTGTGTGCGTGGGTTTGTTGGTATGTTTCCATGCAGTGTGGGTTTGCGGGTGGGTGAGTGCGTGTGGATGGATAGGTGTTTGCATGCGAGTCCGCGTGTGTGAAGGACCGGATGCACGCATTTTGCATGCATCAATTTTGTGCAAGCAGGTACAGTATAGATGTAAATAGAGAATGTGAGATGTTGGCCTCAGTGAAATCTAAAATGTCAAGGGACACCTTCGGACAAAACCTGGTACGGAAATATTAATTCAGATACAAAGCACCACGATCAAGAAGAGTCAAGCTAGAAAGATGGCGGCGTGGGTTTGAGATGGCACTCGCCATGGTCCGTGACTTGCTCAAGCATGCTCACAAACGCAGGTCGCGAACTCCCAAACATTGTTCTGGCATTTCGCGATGATATCTTCGACTATGGCTGGGTTGCACTAGGTGAGTACGCCGAAAACCATTTCGGCAAGTGCCATTTCATTGCGGGCGACAGGTTGAAAACCACGTCGATGCTTGGACAATTCTCGACAGGCACACTTCACCGGATTGCTCTTTAGGCGATTACCAATTGGGAGAGGATTTTTTCGACTACAGAGCATTTCGTCGAATTCTTGTTTCTTACACACCTGGTGCCAAAGTACATAGTGAAAGTGTTAAGCTGGCCTTCAAAATATCAAAATAATTATATTGAAACATTAGGAATGCCTCCCCGCCGTGCGTTGTCATGTACGTATCCAGTACCACCACTGCGCCCAAGTTAGCTGGTGTGCGCGGAACATTGTCGGCTGCATTTCGGGCTCTCCGCCCTGTTCGCTTCAGAGCTGCGGAAGATTGTAAGCTCACCACAGCTCACCACTTCCCCAGTAACGCCGTGACGATTTGGTGGGAAGAGTCCTGCCGTGTCGCGACTGTTATGTTTTCCTGAGACCTCTGCTGGACAACTCATTTTTCTTTCGCATCTCCAGTGAACAGTCGCGTCTCTTCCTCTCTTGTCTTGCACGTGGCACACTCATCCTTGAATGGTTTGGGTTTGCCTCATGAAGATAGGCCAGTAAAATCGGGATAAGCGTCCATGATTGGGTCGCCAAGATAAATGATTTCGTACCCAGAGAATACAGCTTTTCAGTGTAATTCGGCGACAGGGTCAGCGGTGAAAATGTAACTTTGTCGAAATGAACTAGCCGAATGTGTTAGGCGGCGAAACATCACAGTCGTGAAAATTAATATCCTAACTGACCGGACACCCTGGAGGTTGGCTAGGTTTGCCTAATCTTTATTGACTGCTTTGCGGTTATCTCCTCTTGATAATTTGGAACAAAGAGAGCTGATCATGGCTTCATTGCTGAGTAGAAGTAACAATCGACTCTCCTCGGGTCCTTAGTGCCGAAGTCAGACAGCTGCAGTTCCATAACGCTCATTGTACGATGATGGGAACAATAATTATAGTGTACCTATAGACATACTTGGGCAATTCGGCCAACCCTATTTTAGCCGCTAGTCCGTCCAGCAAGCAGATATTGACTAGTAGGATTAGGAGAACTGCGTACACCAAAGGGCTTCCTGAGCAAGTATACTTCAAGTCATGACTCCAGTCAAGAACTACGTAGGGGTTTTATTACTCGAGGTTCACAACATACCAGCCTGGATACCCCTCCCACCCCCCCCCCCCCCCAACCACCCCCGCGCTGAATATGTCGGCTTTGAATACATTTTAATATTGATCGTGCCATATATCTACCGGCACCGTTAGAGAAAGAGAGAGATAGATAGATAGATAGATAGATAGATAGAGAGAGAGAGACAGAGACAGAGACAGAGAGACAGAGACAGAGAGAGACAGAGAGAGACAGAGGGAGGGAGGGAGGGAGAGAGAGAGAGAGAGAGAGAGAGAGAGAGAGAGAGAGAGAGAATGAGACAGAGACAGAGACAGACAGAGATAGATAGAGAGGCACAGAGAGAGAGAGTGAGAGAGGCACAGAGAGAGAGAATGAGAGAGAGAGAGAGATGTAGGGTGAAATAAACTCCAAGGAAAAGTGGAAAGATGACTCAATTGGCTTAGAACCGGTAACACTGAAATTCCCAAACTTTGCGTGGGTTTGGACATGATAGTATTATGTATTGCGTTTTGGTAGGTATCGCTGACGAGCAGCTCCTTGTCAGATTTGTAATTTTGAACGAAAAATTCTAACAAGGTATTATAATGATATTTGATAACCTCTGATCTGGTCTACTTTGCTCTTCACTACATCATGATGTTGTTGTGTGTGTGCTTACTACGGATTTACGTACTGGACCAACGGAGTCGGGTGCTGAGTCGGGTGCTGAGTCTCGCCCCATTCGCCCGCACAGGGCAGAGGACAGGCTTTGCCTCGAAAAATTTCCCAAGTATCCAACATACAAATTGTCGCTACCGAAAGATCAACGGGAATGGATCAAGTCACTAGAGCCTCATCTGCGCACTCTTCACGACTATGGTTACTTGACGCCGACGTACCACAACACGGTATTGGAGTGTTTGCTGTGGCACATCTTCACGAAGTTGGGCCGAATGTGGTTCATAGATCTGAAGCCCCGTGAACAGGCGCAGGGTATGGTTCTATTTGTCACATACTGATGCTGGTCTGCCAAGTGTTTGCTCTGGTGTGGGTTTCTGCTAGGCCTGCAGTGGGCATTGAATGACATTCAGGGTCTGATGACCTTTCGTTGGAATACTTTCTTTTTAAAAAAAGAAAAAGAACAATCAGTGGTAGCGACTTCGACGATAATTTTGTACTTCGATGTAGGAAGGAGTTTCCCGCATCGAAAAGTCGCGACATCGAAGGACTTCGACGATAATTTTGTACTTCGATATATGAAAGAGTTTGCTCCCCGCATTGGAGCTGGCGCTTCTCCACCGACTGGACTGAGCACATAGGGGTGAAATCCACAAAACACTGTGTATTGAGCAGGGAGTGGTGCTTTCTTGCAGGATTGCCAAGTCCATAGCTCAAGCCAAAGGACTTCTTGCGGGCATTCGATGGCAGTCGTGAGAGAGTAAAGTTTCAGATCAATTCGGCAGAAAAGCGTGAGGTCAGGTTAAGTTCCCCGCGGATCCGGGAAGGCCATAACTTTCAATGATTAAGGTGCATATGCAGCTCCGAGACTCAGTCTTTCACGATTTTATTCCAATCAAACTCCCTCGTGTTTAGGCATTGGCGGAAAATGCTCGAAAAGGTGGCAAATTCTGCTCGCAAAGCATTGAAATTGGCAGAACCATACAAACCTTATGGCGGGCAATTCCTCGCATTCTGCTCCATTTCTTTATCCACATACCAAACATGCCTCAGGCCCATTATAATTAGGCATTACATGTACTGACTACTGTAAAACCGGAAAGTCTAACAACCAAAATGTTTAACGTTTTTGTGATTTTGGCATGATAACGTGCAGAAAGTTTAGCGATGGCTACCAGGCCACCCAACTGTATGCACATCTTTACACAAACATCTCAAGATAACGTTTCTTCAAATAACGAAAAAGAACTGGTCGTTAAACCGTTACACTTTGTGACTCGTTAGACTTTCCGGTTTTACAGTAGTTTGAAGTACATTATGTTGACTCATTACCCACAACTAGAATCCTTAGACTCATCTACTACTAGTACACTAGTATGACAGGAAAAGTCTTGGTGCATCTCAATCCTGATCAACACCATCTCGCAAGGAGCAAAGGCACACAAACGGTCACCGCGCAGCCTAGCTCA